AATTATGAAAAATTTTAAATTCATATGATTTCAGCTAATAAATTAAACTGACAAACTTTACTAATTAAATTAACAAATTAACTTCTGCAGTGAATGAATTTTTCCTTGCACCATTTTATTATGGTCAACAAGATGCCTATTTGGGTTGAGTGAGGATTGACTTCAGAGTAATCATCATAGGAAGCACAGGAGAAGACCCTGAAGCAGTGGCCATGAGGGGGTGGGGCTTCTCACCTGCGGGAAGCACCTCTGGGGAGCAGCTTCAGCACCACACTGTTTGAGGTAGTCAGCCCAGTCAAAGTCCTGGCCTGGGTAGCCTAAGTAGGGACAAAAGAACAGTGATTCATACTACACATGCCTGCCTTGCTTTATCACGCTGCAAGGTATCCACCACAACTTCTAATTTTGCTAATATGAGACTCTGATCATTTTAGAGGAGGAAAAACACCTTATAAATCCAAAGCATTGTTAATTTTATAAAATAGAGCAATTGTGGTCAAACTGTACAACAATACAATAAAATTCTTTGGCTAAATTTTAAAACTTTCACATTTCAAACTAGGCATTTATTTTGAACAATACTTCATATGATTATTTGCTGGCAACTGACCAAAAGAATTTAAGACAGTATGACTGGATTTGATTTGTACCAATAAATTCAATCTTATTATTAATACTATTATGACTTAGGCTCTAAAAGAAAAGAGACAGCAAATAATTTTCAGTACTATTTAATCAGTGAAAATTTTTTTTCTTTCTTTTAATAAAGCTATTTCCTTAAACATATCCTAGTTCCTATGGAAACAACACTCTCAGCACTGTTTTCAGATTCATGTTCAACAAAATCTCAGTGCTTTTATAGCCCAAATCATAAATTCATTTCAGAAAAAAGTTGAGCTTAAATCCCCACTTAAGTCTACCAAGGTTCTTGGTAAAAGCCTCTACATCTGTGTGTGAGGAGCTGGACAGGGCCTGCTGCATCTGACCTGCTCTCTGCTTTGCAGAGCTCAGTATCTCACGGGCACAAAGTGGCCTACTCAAGACTATGCCATCCTACAGCCAAACAGCCCCTGCAATTACCTCTTCTGCCCAACTGAGATTGGCATCATGCTTTCCCTCTGCCTCCACCTCAATTCCTCACAGTAAATTATCTGACATTTTCAATTATATAATCTGCTACTTTCCTTTTATTTACAAACAGTTAAGTTGTCTATAATAATGCCGAAAGCTCCAATATCTTTAATAATTGGTTTTTCTTTTCACATAAAGGCAGCAGGCAGGATAAAGAACTTGAGATGTCCAGAGCCTTCCTGCAAAACAAGAACTTCCTCCTGTAGATGTGTCCCCCACCACCATCACCACCAGGCAGGTTTTCCTATTCTCTATTCACTGACGGAGGAAAACATGGCAGGCTGTTACTCTTTTCCCTTATTTGCTCCTTGAAAAAACTGTGTTGTATTCACTTGTCTCCCCAGAGACAAGCCCAATGCCTGGCTCATAAGCAAATATTCCATAAATGTTTGTTGAATGAATGAAGGCTGAATGGAAGGCAAAGGTTCTGAGTTTGAACTCCTGCTAACACAAAAGAGCACTTTCAGCCCCAATTCCAGCAGTCACCATTTGGAAAGTAAAGCTGTGCTTTACTAAAAGCCTACTAATAAAGGATACATAGACTGCCAATCAAATAATTAGGTTTGCTGATATAAAAATCAGATAAATGCTGACATTCCAGATACTCCAACTTGAAAAATATTAAAAATTTCAGTCAAGCTCAACTAAGTCATATTGTGAGTCTTGGTTAAAGGGTCAAAGGCTATATTTTGCAAAGTTGAAAACATCAGAAAATGAGCTGCTACTTTCCTACCTAGAGCCTCTTTGTATTCTACTCTTGACCATAAACCTCTCTCTGTAGTCCGAAGAGTATCCCTCCAAGATGAGGCCCAGAAACCTAAAAATCACCAAAACTACCTCCTGTCTCTGACTCTAAGGTCTCTTCTCGAAAGCCAGCTCCTGACACTCACCATATATCCTCCTCCCACCCCTCTGTGAGCTCCCAACAGACACAAAGGGAATGAACTAAGGAACCTGCATGGAACCCCAGGCTGTCATGAGGATACATTTGTCAAGGTAGGAGGACCGAACATACTGGGTTGTTGGGAGAGTCATGACGTATTTTTCTGTTTTTCAATGCTAAAATGCATCATGACTTTCCCGACGACCCAATACTTTCTTAGTTTAGCTTAATTTATAACTTTCAAATCTGTAAATATATGGAATTTAGGCCTTCAGTTATACTTGTCCTAGGCCCCCAAAATGTTAAGGATAGGCTGGGGCATGAGGAGAAAGAGGAACAAAATATCCAGGTGATGCCATCCAATAAATCTCATTTCAAAGGTAAGTTCCCAGTGAACAATTCACTGTATGAATGCATACCAGGAGGGGGGCTGATGTGTAAACCATTCTTCAGACTCCACTGCACAGGGAAAATACCAGGACTGTCAGCATGACACACAAAAGATCGCCTCGCACGACTCTCCGGTCTCAAGTCATCCATTTCTACCAGAAAGTACCTCTCATCGAAAACCTGTGCATAATTTAACAGATAAAACAAATAGTTTTATGGGTGGATGTGTAAATGTGTGTGAGTGTGTGAGTGTGTGTGTACATAAAATTCATACAATTTAACAGATAAAACAGACAAATGGTTTTATGGGCGTGTGTGTGTGTGTGTACACACAATTTAACAGAGAAAACAAACGAATGGTTTTATGGGGGGGATGTGTGTGTGTACATACAATGTAACATAAAACAGGTGAATGGTTTTTTGGTGTGTATGGATGTGTGTGTACAATTTAACACATAAAATAGACAAATGGTTTTATGGGTATGTGTGTGTGTGTGTGTGTGTGTGTGTGTGTGTGTTTGTGTGTGTACATACAATTTAAAAGATAAAACAGGCGAATGGTTTTATGGGTGTGTATGGGTGTCTGTGTGTGTCTGTGTCTGTGTATGTGCATGCACGCAAATACCTATGTCATTTCCTTGGCACAGCCAAACATGTTACAAAAGTTCGCAGCTACAATGGGTATTAATAATAATACAATACACGCAATAAATGTTATCTCTGTGTCAGGCACTGTCTTTTAAGGCTTTCAAGTATTAATTCAATTTTAATCTTCCTAACAATCTAATGAGGTTGGTACCATTATCAACCCCATTTTACAGATAAAGAAACTAAGTTTAAAATGAGGTTAAATAACTTGTCCACTGTTACAGAGCCAGGAAGCAGCAGAACCTGGATTCAAGTCCAAGTATTTTGGCTCCAAACAAAATTTAGTTTAAGCTTAATGAGGAGTCAACTATACCACTATATTAAGATTTTCAGATCCTAGTTTAGTTTTAAATGTCAAAGAGAAGGTTTTATGAATTTCCTCTGGCTCCTTACCACCCCACAGCCCTTCAGACTCCAGATAGGGCCTTCTGGCCCTGCTGTCGGATCAGCACCCCTCCTTGTTCTAAGAATAATCTTCTTCCAAGACAAGGAAAATTTTAATCTCATTAGTCAGACAATTCAGCATCCAAGCAACTATTTCTCTAGTTGCACCTGACTTTTGGTTCCACTTTTAGTCAATGGGCTTTTAGCTGAAATCCTTTACCTTATGCTTCAGTTCTAGTAACTAAGTAACTGGGCCTTGACAACCTGCCCAATTCTTGTGGTTTCTCCTAACAAGAGCCGTACTTTTGTCAGTCTTCCAAAAGATTAAAGTCTGAATCTGAATCCATGGCTGGAGCAATTCTACTGTTAGCTTTTGTGACACTTATCACTTACTCGCCACAGACCTCCTCACCTCAATGAGCCTTGCACTGGGATGGACACTGATGACGCTGCCTGACTCCATCCATACTTTTTTTTTTTTTTTAATTGGGGAATTGGGAGGGGAACAGCGTTGGGGAATCGGGGAAGGAGAACAGATGGGTAGACAAATTGCTGTTTTGTTCTTCAGTCTAGTTGTGGAGGACATCGCTTCACTGGCCCATGTTGGTATTGTGATCATTGCACTCTTCCCGGCTAAGGCAGNACCCACAGAAACTGTAACATAATAAATGTTTGTTGCAACAAATAATTTCCTATGCAGAATAGATAACCAGAACATCATTTTGTTTTTCTCTAAAATGTCCAGATTCATCCTAATTGGTAGCAGCCACACAACAGGTTACTTAACAATCAATCCTTTGACCCAGAAATAGACGGGCAGTACCTCGTGCTCGGCGAGGAGCGCTGAGGGGATGGCCATTGGTTTCACACCAGCCCAGAGGAAATATATCCATGGATTCCACACTCACAATACATTCAGGTATGGGCTTCTTAGAACCTGTTTAAATTTAAAAAAATTTTTTAGACCATGAAATAGCCTTCTTCATAAACTAATTCCTAGATAATCATGTCTACTGTTGCAATAATACAGACACAAAGTCTCTTGAACAAGTTCCTTTTACACAGAAGTCATACTTTCTCATGTATGACAAATATTAAGAAAAAAATACATAACTGTATAAAGACCAAAATGGGTAGTAAATATACAGTGTGACCCTTTAGTTAGGGAACAGCAAATAAGCAACTGGGAGTACCAATAGTATCATTCAGATAGTTGACAATTTCATAGTCAACTCCATGAAATACTTGGAAAACAAAGGCAAAGTGACAGTTCTACTCAATGAGAACATCAGTTGTAATACTTGGGGACAAGCCAAAACGTAGGCCAGTGAATTCAAATCAGGAAGTGATGTAGGCAAGTTGCTCAGCAGGGGCTGCATAAATATCTATATTCAATACTGTCCTTGACATCTGTATTAAATGCCAATTCTACAAACTGGAAACAGCAGGTACTGAGTCTATTTGGCAGCTGAATAAAAACAAAACCCAGGCCACTGAACAGTAACTGCAGCACTAAGTATTCACACAGTGCTTTCTGTCCACAAACCTGTCCAACTGTTGAATATTACTTTCAGTATAATGTATCTTTTTTATTTTACATATTTTTTTAGTTCTAATGGTTAGGGGCAACCAAAATATTATCTTTTTTCTTTTCTTTTTTTTTTTTAAGATTTTATTGGGGAATTGGGGAAGGGAAACAGTGCTAGGAAATTGGGGAAGGGGAACAGCCAAGTTGCTGTCCTTCAATCTTAGTTGTGGAAGGCGCAGTTAAGCTCAGCTCCAAGTCCAGTCGCCATCCAGCCGCCCATCAGCAGCTTGCAGCTGCTCAGCTCAAGATGCTGTTCAATCTTAGTTGCAGGTGGGCGTAGCCCACCATCCCATGCGGGAGTTGAACCAGCACCTTGTTAGGAGCACGTGCTCTCACCAGCTGAGTCATCCTGTCACCTGTTGGCAGCTCAGCGGCAGCTCAGCTCAGGTGCAACACTCACTGGCCCATGTGGGAATTGAACCGGCAACCCTGTTGCTCAGAGCTCGCGCTGTTAACCAACTGAGCCACTCGGCCAGCCCATAAAATATTATCTCTTAAATAGCTAGTTGTTAATGCTCATGTTTTGGTCACATCAAAACATATGCTATTTGGGCCGGCCGAGTGGCACGTTGGTTAAGAACTGGCTTGGGATGCCACAGGGCCCCGGTTCGGATCCCATATATGAGGGCCAGTGATACTGCCCTCTACAGCTAAGATGCTGAACAACAGTTCAACCTGGAGCTGGGCTGCTGTGGGTCGCTGGTGAAGGCATAGGCTGCAGTCCCCTGCTGCAGTGGG